CCCCGTATTTACACTCTACTGGAACTAGAATGGAGCAATAAATATTGAGAGATGCAACAATTTAGAATGTCTAGAGGTATACTCTCAAAACAAAATGCGCCAATCACTTCCGGCACTTCCGCTGTGATTGTCAGCAAGGCAGATTGTTTCTTTTCTCAGTTAAATAATCACAAAGGCCATATAAGGACGGACACCTTTTGTCAAATATATGTTTCTAAATTCAAAAAATAAATTTTAAAAAAGAATCTGACTCTGTAGCTGTAGTAGTTTTATGGGAAAAGTGACACATGTGTTTCCAAGTTGCATATAAAACAGATATATCGGGGGCTAGCTGTAAAAATATATTAATTCTTACACTAATTTTACAAGAAAGAGAAAAAAAAACATGTTTCCTTCTTGAATTATACCTACATTATGCTTTGCTTTATGCTCTTATGGTAGGTAAGATCTGACACCTAGCCAGCTCAGACAAGGGCGAAACAATCTCTGTGGTTCCGAGTGCAAATTGCGTTAAAGATCTCTTGGTAGTCAAAATTGGCAAGAGTAGGCTTCGGCTGCTACTCAGGTGATGTGTCCCGTGCGCTCATATGGCCGGCCTTATGCAGTTGGGAGCGCCGTAAAACACTTACACCCCCCCCCCCCAACCTCCAAGCTGGCCGACCATATAAATTCAAAAAATGATTAGCAATAACTCGGTCATATTCGGACCTATTTCAACAAAACTTCTAAAAAATTGAATTCAAGGGAGGGGACGTTGTATTTGTCACTATATAAAAAGCAGTTAACGTGTCCCCCCCAAGAAAGTTAAACATAAAACTTTGGAACTTCTTGAAATCAACCATTATTTTTCATTTGAAAATGTCACTAATTGTGCAATGAAGAACAAATGTATACAAAATCTATATTTCCAAATAAACTCAGGAATGTGATAGCTATTTAATTATCCAGATGTTGACCGTTTTCCCCCTTTAAGCAGCAATACTATGTTACTGGGAAATTTGATTAACCCAATAGCATATTTCTGAGTCCTTTTTTAGGGGGGAAGTCATGTTCAACAATGAGTTTTAACTTTTCGGTTGTTTGCGGTTTGTTTCCGGAGAATATGTCCTAGAAAAAATCCAAAAGGTAATGCTAGAAAGGGTTCACTTTAGGGGGGGAATGTGGTGCTGAACGCTTTTTAGCAGTACAATTTTGGTTTTTACCTAATTTAGATTGAAATTTTTAAAATTTGAAATTTCTCGAACACGTTCATTAATTTTCCTCATATTTACAAATCAACGACCATGACATCGAGGACGACAATG